AGTGTTTTAAACGTCCTTTTAGTAACGAGTATTTCAAGCACGAGCTGAGCAGAGCGGAGCGAGTGTTTAATAAACGAGTGTCTAGAAGAGTTTATGAACGCGTTACATATTATGCTTTTTCTACGATTTCCGAAAATTACATTAACATACCTGGTTTCCTACTAACCTTTAAAATAATTCGAAAGGAATGGGAATTGAGAACATAATACATGCAACCAGCGAGACACGTATATGAGTGATATGTACGAAGGCGCTGAAGGGCCACCTATACTATTTTTTTTCGAATCCCGACTTTAAAGTCGGACCCCCGACTTTAAAGTCGGGGGTCCGAGATTAAAGTCGGGGGTCCGACTTTAAAGTCGGGGGTCCGAGATTAAAGTCGGGGGTCCGACTTTAAAGTCGGGGGTCCGAGATTAAAGTCGGGGGTCCGACTTTAAAGTCGGGGGTCCGAGATTAAAGTCGGGGGTCCGACTTTAAAGTCGGGGGTCCGAGATTAAAGTCGGGGGTCCGACTTTAAAGTCGGGGGTCCGAGATTAAAGTCGGGGGTCCGACTTTAAAGTCGGGGGTCCGAGATTAAAGTCGGGGGTCCGACTTTAAAGTCGGGGGGCCGAGATTAAAGTCGGGGGTCCGACTTTAAAGTCGGGGGTCCGAGATTAAAGTCGGGGGTCCGAGATTAAATTCGGGGGTCCGACTTTAATCTCGGACTTCATGGATAAGTCCGAAACGGGTGTTCTCAGACCCATTCTATGATATCATATATCATTGAATTCGTCTTTCTTTGCTCTATCCAAGAATGAAATTGAATACATTCGAAAATTCCGAGAAGATGATCGGTTTGCAAAATACGTCATCACTTTTGTTTAATTCGAATATCCTCAATATTGACGAAATATCAATATAACATATACAGGGTGATCCACAGTGGATGGCCTATTAGAAGTATCTGGAGATCGAAAAGACAGAACATTCTGAAAATTGAGATTCTTCGATAATTGAACATTTTCTATCCGTCTAAGATATTTTCATCAATACAGTGTTGCCACTTCTATCAGAAACAACTAGCAACTTCGCTATTTTGAATGGAGCACCCTGTATTTTATTGCAGTTTTAGATCCTTCATGAAGAGCTGATTCCATCGATGCATCACACTTGTGGTCTAACAGGAATTATTACAGAGATATAGGGTGTTCAAAATCTAGAATTTTGAATTTCAGGATTTTTTTGTGTCGAAACTATTCATTATCGATCAAAACGACTCACATGTCCCTATCTTAACTTTTGATTCACTATCTACTGACATTTAATTGGAACAGATACAGGGTGATCAGAATTCTGAATCTTGAAGCACCCTGTATTTGTTCCAATTAAATTCCAGTATTTAGTGAATCAAAAGTTAACATAGGGACATGTTAGTCGTTTCGATCGATAATGAATACCTAGTTTCGACACAAAAAATCCTGAAATTAAAAAATCTCGATTTTGAACATCATATATCTCTGTAATCATTCCTGCTAGATCCCAAGATTGATGAAATCAGCTCTTCAGGAGGAATCTAATAATGCAATAGAATACAGGGTGCTCCATTCAAAATAGCGAAGTTGCTAGTTGTTTCTTATAGAAGTGGCAACACTGTATCGATGAAAATATTCTAGTGGGATAGAAAATGTTCAATTATCAAAGTATCCCAATTTTCAGAATGTTCTGTTTTTTCGTTCTCCAGATACTTCTAATAGGCCATCCACCGTGGACCACCCTGTATAATCAGTTAATTCATAATGAAAACTGCGCATTGAAAACTTGATTCTCAACGTTTTCATAAGGCTTAGAAATTTGGCTATTTATTGAAGAAGATTATGAAAATAGTCCGGAAGGGGTGATCTCATACCTACAAATGTAATCATATATCATTAAACTCATCTTTCTGAGCTCTACCCAAGGACGAAATGACATTCAGGGTAGTTCATTTGTGAAAATATATGTTTTGTATTGTAATCTTTTTGCACCCTTTAAACAAACAAATGAGATTCTCAGCTATGAAGTGGAATATATACAATCACCCTATACGTACGATAATGATCGTACAGGTGTGATCCATTATTTGACATTCAGTGTACATCCAAAAGGGAGGATTTTGACTGATCCTTATGTGATGATTATCCAATGGATGTAAAATTATTGTTTGTACATAAACGTACAGGGTGTTTCTCGAGTACATGTAGAAAATTCAGGAGCATGTTGCTGACATCAAACTGATGAGTAACAATGGAAAATATTCATTTCTGTCCACATATTTAAAGAATATAATCTAGCTCCTAACTTCAGTTTCGGACTCCCGACTTTAATCTCGGACCCCCGACTTTAATCTCGGACCCCCCGACTTTAAAGTCGGACCCCCGACTTTAATCTCGGACCCCCGACTTTAAAGTCGGACCCCCGACTTTAATCTCGGACCCCCGACTTTAATCTCGGACCCCCGACTTCAAAGTCGGACCCCCGACTTTAATCTCGGACCCCCGACTTTAATCTCGGACCCCCGACTTTAAAGTCGGACCCCCGACTTTAATCTCGGACCCCCGACTTTAAAGTCGGACCCCCGACTTTAATCTCGGACCCCCGACTTTAAAGTCGGACCCCCGACTTTAATCTCGGACCCCCGACTTTAAAGTCGGACCCCCGACTTTAATCTCGGACCCCCGACTTTAAAGTCGGACCCCCGACTTTAATCTCGGACCCCCGACTTTAAAGTCGGACCCCCGACTTTAATCTCGGACCCCCGACTTTAATCTCGGACCCCCGACTTTAAAGTCGGACCCCCGACTTTAATCTCGGACCCCCGACTTTAAAGTCGGACCCCCGACTTTAATCTCGGACCCCCGACTTTAAAGTCGGACCCCCGACTTTAATCTCGGACCCCCGACTTTAAAGTCGGACCCCCGACTTTAATCTCGGACCCCCGACTTTAAAGTCGGGGGTCCGACTTTAAAGTCGGGATTCGAAAAAAAAAAGTATAGGTGGCCCTTCAGCGCCTTCGTAGATATGTGGTAGTTGTGTCCAGTCCATTGTTTACTTACCTTTGTTTCACGTTTATTGTCAGGCTTAGCGCAGAATAAATAAATTGTTCTCAAAGATTGATGCTTCATTTTTACACTTCTTGGAGATATGCAAGTACCAAAACATTCTTATCGATTTGACTTTCGTCTACATTTCGCATATATTTTCAATGAATAATTCTGATACAAACGAAAATTGTTATTGACATTCTCATACAAAATTCGAAAATGACAGTTGACGGTTCCTACGACTGATAGGCCAGACATGTCTCTCTCTATCCTTGTCTCAAATTACTGAAGCTGTGTTTAATGAGCTGTGTTGCCATGGTAATGTATCTGAGAAATCGTGTTGCCATGGTAACGTGTTTAATATTTTGAATAAATCACAGATCGTCAATCCGTGATTAATCGATCATTTAGCGTGGTACAAATCCTTACGCTAAGTGCCATTTTAGTTATGTGAGTAGAAAAAAAACTGTTATGACTCACCGAAATTAGTGTCAATGATTTCTCATCATGTTCCTCAGAGGTATACCAGGTATAGACAAATAGTAGCGTGCTCCAATTATAAAATACATATAGGAAAACATTCTCCAATGACCAGAATGTGTGATTTGTGGATTTATTCAACAAATATTTCAATGATGTGAATATTTTTCTGCATATCCTTCAATTCCTCCAGAAGAATCACAAAAAACATTGTTATTGCCTATCATCAAGATGAAAAGTAAATAGGAATCATGAATGAGAATGCTTACTATTTTCCCGTATCGAAAATATTTTATTTTCATACCTCCTATGTATTTACCTATATAGGTGTATTTTCGTATTTCTTTGGACATGTATGTTATTAGCTCTGTAACTGATTGTATTAGTGGATGCTTATATGGGTACAAATCTGTTAGTATAATAGCTCAAATTTCGAATGGATAAAATGAATGAATGAAACAATGAAAAGTAGAACAAGGAAAACAAAAATCAATTAGAAGAAATGAGCAAGTATCGAAAGCAGAAGAAGAAGCAGAAAAACCCTCTTTCCTTTCTCTGGTTCCTCACTTACTTTGATTCTCCTTCTGGTTTCTTTCATTTCTCTTCCATTCCTCTTCTTCTTCAGTTCTCGAAACTTGCTTATTTCTTTTCAATAAAAATCTATGTTTTCAAATCTTACTGACCATTGTTCGATAGTGCGAGTTTATGTCCTGTCACATTTCTTTTTTATTATTGCTTGTCCAACTGTCAAAGTTCTCGTCCAACTTCCAAATTCTATTGAATTTTTTAGTTCCGTAGCGTACTGATATGGTCTTCGGTATAAAACATTATTTAGTAAAAAACATTTTTCAATTTTCGATAATATGTTTGATCTTATCAGTGCAATTTTTTCCTGCATCTCCACCAAATTCGAAATATCCTCATGTGCCCGACTCTGACAAGCCGTTGACGAAATGTTTAACAATTTACAGGTACTTGTTATATCTGATGATGGCCGTTGTGCCAAAACCAGTTACATTTAATTATTGATTTTGAATTTTATTAAGTGTGGTCGACCGACTTTGAGCTTCATGTTTCCCTTTTGAAACTCCATTACGTCTGTCTTCACGCAGCATTAACATCGAACTGAATGGTAATTTGGGTTTACAATATTCGGAAACATCGAGATTCACTACCTCATTCTGAGAAGGTTGTTGGGGCTCAATTCGGGTGAACTATTGGCAATACTGAACTTACGTGAACCTCATTAGAGGTTGCTGAAAAACTTGAAATATAAATATTTTAAAGAATTTATTTTTTTGTCTAAAGATCATTCTTTCATTCTGTTTTGTTTATTTTTTATGTTTTAATACCCATTTCATAAATTGCTCTAATTTCGGCAACACCCTGTACTCATGGTGACTATTGAGAAACCCGAAAAATTAAGAAGAGCAACTAACAGAAGAAATCAGTAAAACTCACAATATTCAGAAGAGACAAAACATACTGTTCAACTTTATTCCGACCATGGAAGGATATCACAGTGTGGTCCACGGCTACTGCTATTTCCATCCATCTGGCAGGCAGTGAGGATGTAGCATTTCTCATTTCCGGTCTCCGAGCTGTAAAAATCACAGTCACATAAATATACGATGTAGTTCAGTACCAGATATACAGATTGGGAATAAAACTAACGGCATGAAGGTTGAAGTTGAAAAAGTTAATTGACCTGTTCAAAATAAAGGGGTTTTCTTCTGAACACCTCGGCTCCAACTCCAAGTGGGATTTTGCACCGCCTATATTTAGTTTGTCCCAAGTCAATTGAAGCGCCTCGAGTAAGAAACCTACACGTACACTCGTCTTCAGTGATCATGTTGCGGTTGGACGGTATGAGCACTCTTATTGCAGCGGTGATTAAGAGAACTGACACCGTCCATATGCGACATGTTCTCTGAAGACGACTGTACCTATATCCACCCCGTGCACAAACTTCAAACGAACCGACTCCACCTTGCGTATGTTTTCTGCTGGAGCTGCTTCAATGAGCTACTGGACTGAGATACAGGGCTCTTCTTCAATGTCCCCCTCTTTTTTTCAACGGGTTAACTGAAAAAATGTGAAGTAAGGGTAATGAAATTGATGCATGATTAATATATTTTAGAGTGAAATTGACCAATGAAAATTTCGAGATGGCGACTTGGTGCCATCTGGGAAACGGAATTCAAATGGAAAGGGGAAGGGTCTTGTGATAAATCCTTCTGAAACTCCTAACGTATACTTCACAACCTCAGGATATAAAGTCCATATCTTCACCTACTACAAAATAGCGGAATATTTCATGATTTCGACGTTCACTTCCTAATTTGAGATGAGCTGAGTTCAGTTCAAAAGATGCTCGAAATAGTTGCTTCAAACTGTTTGACATAAGAACAGCCTTTCCGAAATTTCATGCCGAACACTTTTCAACTTAGTAACTTCGATATTTTCACAAATATTCATCATTCTCTGCAGTGTATCCAATATTCAACAAGTGCAGTATTTCATACATGTTGCTTCGAATAGACCAATAAAAAAAAGGCTGGAGGTGTCAAATCTGGCGGGCGGGCTGGCCACGACCTAGGAGTCATTTTCAACAAGAAACTAACTGTGTCCAATCAGGTTGCAGCAGCTGTCTGTAAGGCAAACATTCGCACATACCTCCTCAACAAATGCTTTGACCATCCTGAACCAAAACTCTTCAATCAGCATTATAAAGCATATGTTCGTCCACACTTTGAATATGCTGTACAGATATGATCTCCTCATCTGGTGAAAGACATTCAACTTCTGGAAAGAGCCCAACGCAACACGAATTGTAGAAAGTTTCAGGGATCTCTCCTATGAACAACGGCTATCGCGGCTAAACCTTCCTTTGCTGAGTGACAGACGAGCCAGAGGAGACGCTATTCTGACGTATAGAAATGCATGATGACTTCTCTGTTGACCTATCCAACTTATTCCATCTACAGAACGATGATAGATTGAGAAGCCACACCATGAAGTTGAAGCAAGAACATTTTCGAACCACACTCAACCAAAAACTTCTATCGAATCGAGTATTTTCAAAGTGGAATGCATTACCTCGTGATGTTGTGTCAGCTCCCAGTGTGAACAGTGTCAAGAACCGCTACGACTTGTTGCAATTGCAACAGTCATAGTGATTACTGAATAAGGTATTACTTAGTGTATCATCAAAAATGAATTGGACTTGACACAATAATAGTTGTAACTAATTTTAAGTTCAAGTACCTATTGGGCAGAATGGGCTATGCCTCTGCCCTTGTTAAAATATAATGGGCTTATATCACAAAAAATTGTTATTTCATAATTCGATAGAACTCACCCAAACTAGCTCACCACCGCAAACCGTTTCTTGATGTGAGCTCCCTACGTTTTATAAAAAATTATTGAAATCCCCGATTTTTAGGACCTCTGAAAACGAGGCGATGATGTGACGTCAAAACCCTAATACTGAAACAAGACTATTCCAGACAGAGATGAATGATACATGATTTCTGACAGAGTGAATTAGCGCGAAATCACAGTTGAAAGAATTAAGTTATCAGTTGCCTCAGTCTCCGTCGGTTGTTTGGTATTTTCTTTTAACTATGGCGAGATGAGGTTTCTACGTCATAAGAGGGTCCGTTTTCAGAAGGTACTATTATTTATGTCCAAAAATAAAACATTCCAGTTACTTTTTCGATCGAATTATGTCGTCAATCATTATTTATGTATAAAAGGATCATTATAAACATGGTTTGAGTTAAAAGTTCTACTGAGATGTACACGCCCATTATAACAATAAAATAATTTATGCATCAATTCCATTCACCCAAGTTTCAATATCTTCTGTTGACCCGTTGAGAAAATGAAAAGGTGGGACATTGAAGAGCATCGCTGTATTCAGTTATTAACGTTACAAGACCGAAATGTAGCAAATTATGAGGTTGGATACTGTAATTCGAGGCGCAGCCAAGGATTACAACAACTAAATCCTTCATTTTCGTGGCCGTGTGTCGTTCGAAACTCTTCATAATCCCCCTGAAAGACTACCTTCTAGAGAACAAACCACGTACCTCGTAATTCTACAGGAAAATCTCAACATCGTGTTGTTATAAAACATTTAACGGCCTCCAGCCAACTGAATTATTGGCATTGAATTACTCCACTACGTTTTCGATGTAAATAATGTGTCTATGCGTTGTTCGGAATTGTTGAATTTTGGAGCTAATCTCGAACATGATGTCATGGCCGTCATTTCGCCATGTTCTGGGATATGTCGGATAATTGGTGATGTCAATCAGAAAATTTTGTCATTTCAACCCATGAATCAAGGTTATCAAGTCACCAATTTCAATTTACTTCACAAAGAGTTGTAAGAGTGCTGTCGTTGAATTGAACTACATCCGAATCCGATATTTCATTTGACATAATAGGAAGAAGACATGATTTTATATTTATTTATTTTTAGCTTCCTCGGGCAATCAGCTCGTTAAGAGATTCCTCATATTCCAAATCGTGAATTATTATAGTTTTTATTTGCATCATTTTATATCAATCAATAAGCCACAATACATAAGAAGGATCCTTTCAAGTCAATGGATTTTTCTATAGCTAATCAAGAATATTGCCAATACGCTACGCGTCGGGAGACAACACAAACTTGAGCTGAAATGTACTACTTCTTTACCTTGTATAATAAAAAACTATATTATTAATATCGAAAGATTGTTCAACGTGATGGGACCTTTTTCGCTGTAATGACGTTGAATTCAATCGCCTCCTACCATTTGAACAGTTGCATATTATGATTTGTTGTACAGCAGCTTTAACAATGACTATTATAAAAGATAGCTACCCATTTAAAGAGATTGAGAAATTTGTTGCAGTTTTCCTGTGCTCACCTATAGCTTCTATTATATACATACTTACAGATTCTCTCAGTATCACCTGTATTTTTTTTTTGTTTCACGAACTGAAAATTTCGATCTTATCGTTCAATGCTTTTGGGTGTA